AAGTTATGATGTGTGAAAATGTTTCAGTATTTTTGTAATTTTTATGTAACATTTACAACATTTTATTTACATTATTGTATTAATACGTTCTCTGTGGAAGTATGCATACAGAAAAAGTGGAAGCTAGATTTTTGAATAAAAAGAAACTTAGGTACAGAAAAAAGTATTTGATTTTCAATATAAGTTTTACATTCATGTTAAAGTATATTTAATTAATGTTAAAATAAAATGCAAGTAAATATTTGGCTATGTTCTTAAGAAAAAGATGAAGAGTTGATTTCTTCTTGATCCTCTGCTTCCAGGGTCAAATTTATCAACTTGCTTTGTTGTGATAGAGAGGTGAACATTCAATGGAAATATAGACACTAATTAATGATCAAGTCATTGCTACAAATGAAAAACTTGGTGAGTCACCAATGAACACCGCAGCGAACGTGTTAAGAAACATTATATTTATGAAATGCAAATATAAATTGAAGTTCAAAATTATGTTTGTTATATGTATTGTTAGCAATATTTTATTGAATAGGTTTGAGCATATATACTCTACAGTTTTCTCAAAGCATCATTCGTTAGTCATATACATCTTAATATGTTACTTTTAAGCTTTTTAATATTCTAACAATATGGTGATTACTTGTTCACAGCTGAAAATGTGAATCATGAAGATTTAATCTCAGCATACAAGGAATCCTGTACAAAACACAATTCAGATCCTTTGGAAACTGTTATAAATCAACTTAAGGTAAAAATGTATTATGTTAATATTTATAAGCAACACTGATTTAGACAAAAATATTCAAGTATATAATAGTAGATTGAAAATCAAGCAAAATGTATCTATTATTTATAGCTTTATAGAAATATTTCTTGAATAAAAATTGCACTGTTTAATGAGATATATTAATTGAAAAAAATACAATACAAATATAATAAGTTGCAACTATATTTTTTTAAATCCCAATCTACTCTTAATTCAGTATTACGTTATATATATTACAAACTGAGATAAAAAAAATTAAGACAAATATTAATAAATTTTGGAATTATGTAAAATATATAAATTAACTCTTACAAAAATTAATTTAAGGCAAAGGAAGCTAAAAATTGATTACTAATGTATAATTAATATGACATCTGTGCAATTTTTGGATGTATATTTACTAGGTACTGTTTTACTAAAACTATAATGATTTTATGTGAAAAACTAAAAATATAATTATATTTTGCATAATATAATTTTCTTCTTGATGTATTCTTTAATATCTGTGTTATCAATTTATAAAAATTTAAATTCAATATACTGTACAAAATTTTATTATTTGTAATCATGAATTATAGTTATTGTTCCTGATAGTACACATGTATAAATATGGTGTTTTATGATTAAGAATTTCTAAAATAATAGGAACTTCATTTGATTCTAAATGGTAGCATATTTTTTTACATGCAAATTGAACAGACAA